CAAGATATGAATCAGTAAGCCGATTTCTGTACACATTCTTTGCATATTTCATTTTTGAATTTGAAGTTTCACATAGATATGTTGATGTGAACATTGTCATCAAAAAGTAGGCACATTTTTGTAGGGTTTTGTATTTTTCTGGCGCTGAATTCCATAATTCTATGTATTCTTTTTATTCTCTCTTCTCTTTGAAAATAGCCTCGAAATTTGTATCATTTTTTAATTCAATAAATTCATCAAACACTTTTGAATAATCAGATACAATCAATGCACCTAATTGTGTTATACTCGTTACTTCTAAGTGACAAGAATTTTCTATAAGTAAAAAACAATTCTTTACAGCTCTTAAATCCTGAAATCTTCTTTTAAAGTCATTGGATAAGGCATCTAAATGATTTAAAATTATTATATTATTTGTTTCGGAAATTATATCATCTTGTTTAACTTTTGAAGGGTTAGGAAATTATGTAGCACTTTGTTCTATATTTCCTTGTAATAGATCTCCAATTTCTCTTCAAAAGCAAAAACTTTATTCGCCATCTGCGAAATAATTTTATTTTCACCCTATAAACCGCGGTTGAGCTCATTAAGTTTTTCTGTGATATCACACATATAAGGTAATAGGCACCACCAATTATTGTTTTCAAGTCCATTAAATTTATTAAATTTATCATTTTGTTGTAAGTAATTAATAATCGTAAACTAAAAAACCTTTCAAGTACTTTTCCTCTACTTAGCCAACGTACCGAAGTATGTAAATGAACGTCACTATAATTACTGTTCATTTCTTCTAAAAGACTTTAAAATTTTCTGTGATTGAGCTCGAATATAATTAACTATTTTTATTACGTTTTTCATCACTAAATCTACTTTTGAAATAGAGACGCGTGCTGCCAAGTTTTCTTGGTGAATAATACAATGAAATGACAAGATATTTGTTAAATTATATTTTTTTTAACAGAGATATAAATCCTTTTTCACATCCGATCATCGATGGACATCCATCGATGCACACACAAACCAATTTTTTAATATCAATATCATTGTCGTCAAGAAAATTAGTAATCACATCAAGATAATCGACGCCTCTAGTTTTATTTTTCATTGGAATGAATTTAAAAAAATCTTCATTAATAGAATTCTGTTCAGTACAGTATCTAACAAAAATAGAACATTGTGATGTTGCTGAATTATCAGTGCTAGAATCAAAAGCTAAGCTAAAAAATTTACAATTTTTTAAGTCTTCGATGATGCGGTTATAAATATATTTTGGAATATTTTCTATACGCCTAATACAGGTAGAATCAGAAAGCTGCATTTTTTTAATTTCCGATATTATTTGATTTTTATTACTAAATTTATCAAATTGTAAGGAGAAAGCACTTACAAAACATTCCTTCACAATTTCGGCGTCAATAAATGGTTTCAAATGCTTACCGAGTATGTAAGAAATTTCGTATGATGCAGTTGTGACAGCTGCATCTTGTGATACCGCCACTGAAATAACACATTGTTGTTGTAATGACTTCTTGAAAAAAGTTAATTTTTCTTTTCTCATCAAAGATCCGGGACTATAAGTACTATTAAATGATTCGTGTTTTGTATTGTAGTGACGAAAAATATTATATTTTTTATGTATAACAGTTTCTCGATAGATTAAACAAGTAGCTGAACCCTTTTTATTTTGTACGACAAAATATTCTTCTTCCCAATTGTCCTGAAACAGTCTATTTTCTTCAGATATTTTTCGTTTTTTTCGAAGATACGTCTGCCATAATGTCACAACAAATATAAAAAAATAAAATTACGACTGATATTTAATAAATAAATGTGCCTGACACCAACGCTATTACACATCTACAACGTGACTAACCGTTCATATAATCATAATGCGTACCTACCTTCGAGCTACGGCCAGTTTAGCGGTAAGATAAAATACATCAAAATCGTTATAAATAGAAAAAATACCAAAAACATAGTCATCTTTATCGCACACACTTTGATTGTTTTGTTATATTTTATATTTATAATAATATTAGTTTTGAAATTTATATTTTTTTATAAATTCAATGAGTTCTGTTCGGGCCACATATAAATCGTTGGAGGGCCGCAGGTTGAGTATCGCTGATCTACACTATATACGTTTTTCGGTTTCCGTTGATTGTTAAAATATCGGTAATTGTTATTATAATCGCAATCCCCGGGCTTTTTCATTTCGTTTGTATACGTTCACTAGTTTTCGGTAACCGATAAAACTCATAGTGTGATCCGGCACTGAAAGAGAAAGATAAAAACAATTGCATACCCCGCGTATTCGTACACTTTATCAGTTATAAATGTGTTCAAGGAAATGCCGTAGAGGAAGCTCAAGTATTTACCCCAATGGTAATACGAATGCCTCCGCAAACATAATTTTTTTATCAATGACATTGTCTGAGCGTAATTTTACAGTAGCAGCTCTATAAATTCGTATTTTCATTCCTTAACGGAGTTTAGAAAAATAATGTTTGAAATATTTTTTTATTTCTATAAAGTAGTAAAATATTGCTACTTTATGAATATTTTATAGGAATGCATTGAAAATCCAATAATTGGTTGCACAGTTAAACGTAATGTAATTTTTTTAAAGAAGAACTACGTTTACAGTTACGCATAATGGATATTATAATATATTAGAATAAAATAATAAAATAATGCGCGTAGCCTGGAGTAATAAAATGTATGTACTAAACGTTCAGTTTCGAACTAAAAATTCATCATGAAATATATACAAAGTCAATAACATTGCGATTGAATATGAAACAATAAAGAAAGGAATATATTTAAATATGTCATCATTTTATATAGAGATAATTTATGAAATTATTTAAAATTAGTTCTTATCAGACAAAGATATGTTATGGAATATAAATATTTTAATTATTATTATTTGTTATTATATAAAATTTATTAATATAGGATATTATTTTTAAAATCGGTTTGTACATTGAAAATATTTTTTTAATTTTTTTTTTTTTTAATTTAATTGTTTATGTGTAATTCCTCTAAAACTGAATTAATGTAAATGCTATTTTGAGTATTTCACATTTCTAAGTTTGTATTGATAAAATTCAGTTTTAGATAACTTAGTCGTATGCATACATATTCATTAAATAATGAAAAATAATTTTATTAATATTTTAAATGTACAAGCCGATTTTATTGGTAAGAGAGATGGTTAACTGCGGCAAAATTAACATTTTTCTAAAAATCGATGCTTAAACTGTAGCAAAAAAAAATTTAACATTGTACAATCTGTGGCAATTCAATTTTATATAGCTACAATATTATATACTATGTACTATGTAATTTCGTTGGTGTACAAAATAAGTTGCCACAACTTGTATTATGTATTTCATCGGTTTTGCCGCAGGTTGTATAATGTTCAATTTTTTTCTTGCCGCAGTTTACATACAAGATATAGAAATAAAAAAATCTACCCAGATTAACACATCTGTTATCAAAGCACATGAAAAATTCTTTTATTTTTCTATACCCGAGATTAAAGTCAACATTAATATGAACACTTTAATCAGTGTCGGAAAATACTAAACAATAGTATACAATATATATTCTCGTATTAAAATTTCTAGTTTGAAAAAATAATGTACAAAAATAAAGGTTAGAAACCGGTTGAAACCGAAACCTAAATTTTAAAACTCTTAAAATCCCAAAATTTAACCTAAACCACTAAAAAAATATTTTAAAAACTCGAACCCTTACCTAAACCGTTAAAACCATTAAGGTCTCAGTCCCTGGTTAGAACTAAATTAGAATATAGTTCTGTGGCACGATGTCCATTCTTAAAAACTCAAACTCAGATTAGAAGATAAAATAATAAGAAAAAACTCATTAAATAATGTTCAAAACTGTTTTCTGCGATTATGTCTTTCAAATTCAACATTTATCGTCGATTCCACTCTCCGTATCAGCTATCGTTAAATTTATTTAACATAAGTGGTCTAAGCCACAGATGGAAAATAGACGATTTAAAATGTTTATTTGAACTAATAAACGGTAACATTTTTTGTCCTGAACTTGTTTTCTTATTCAATTTGAATATCTTTCAATGTATAAAATAAGGCCTATAAAAATATATGATGTATTTCCACCAAAAACTAATAATTTATTAGATACGATATTAATGATGGTTAAAGTTATTTGTGAAATTGATGTTATAATATATACGATTTTGTGAGTCAAACATGAAATCTGGATTGTAGAATAATCGAAGTTTTCCAGTGGTTTTTTTTACCGAAATCCCGTTAATATTTAGGTTATTATACGTGTAGGTTATTACTCGGTCATATTTATTAAATTAAAAGTTCACATTATTTTTCAATGGGAGATTAAGACGTATCGCCGCCAACAATGGCGTTGGCAAGTGAATAGCATTATTAAAGTTCCGAATGCACCTAAATTGCCTATACAGAGTGCCCTATGTTGAGAATCGTTATGGTATTTTGATTTACAAAACGATATTCAACGGTTCACATTAGCACACGTGTTGAAAATGTTAATTTCTTTGTTCTTAAGCTACCTAACAGTTTTAAGATATAATTTAATTATTGAATTCCGGTCCATTTATAACATACGACGTCCGTATTGATTAGGAAACGTTCACTTACAGTGTCGACCCAAGAGGGGGGCAAGCGGGGGCCCTACAAATTACGTATTACGAATATCACTTTATCTGTAATTAAAAATAATATAGTCCCAGTACACAAATCGCAACCCGTGTGGTCGTGTGATTTTCACAGGAAACGGGTTGTTATCGACGAAAATTAAGACAGTACCTAATTACGCATAGCTTTGATGTATTGTACGCTCAAATTGTTTATCGTCATGTTCACATAATAAAAATAATTGTTTATAAAAACGTAAATTGCTCAATTTAACTGTATTGAAAAAGTATAAGCAAAATATTGCACACTAAACATACATATAAGTTATGAAAAAATTATGAGCATAGAAAGTGCAGATAATTTTTATTATTTAGTGCCACCGGGACAAATATTTTATGTCCCTGTAAAAATCTACTCGGAATACACTAACATACTTACATACTTCTATATATGGAATACATTTACGTATACTGGTCAAACCGCGTACTTTTGTATCGACGATTAATAAAAACTATATTAGAAATTCTACAGATCACCAAAACGTATTGAATATTCAGTACAATCTACTGCATTTCTTGCACGGTCATACTGGGATTCTTTTTGAGTTATCACTATTTGATATGAATTTTTCCTCGAGGTGCCAAAGGACTCCTCGGATTTTATTTTCCACGCGCGTTCGGTAAGATTCACTAAAGCGGACGTAGTCGTCATGCTCATGTGTGCAACTATGGGAAATCAATAATACAGTTTAAATACTAGTAAAAAATTGTAAAGTACCTGTACGTCCGATAGCCGGGTCGGGCGTACTGTTAAGTAGAAGACGTGCCTGTACTATATAAACCCATAGCCAAAATAACGCATAGAAGTGTCCAACGGGTAAGAGTACATGGACGGCGGTCAAGCTGCTTAGGTTAGAATAGGAAACACGTCTTCTTTTTCGGTTATCCAAACGTATGTTTTCGAGTTTTACTGCGATCGATTAACTGTTTTTCTCCGATATTCAAGGTGCTCAGTTCGATTCTCAATCAGGTACGGTTTTTTGTAATTTTTTTTTTTCCCCAAAAAGTGATAGATTTAAACGAATTTTAGTATCTATACGACCAAAACGATTGTGTAAATCACGACTAGGTACCTACAATATATTATATGATGTATTTCCGATATATATATTTACGTGGTGTTTTGACCGATAAGATCACTGCAAATATACCGGTTAATGTCATGTAAACTCCAACCGTAGTTATCTGAAAACGAACGAAACTTTAAAGCCGTACTTTTCGATTCTTGGGTGGTACGGTTTGAATTCGGTACAACGACAATGCTTTAGTGAATCTCATCGAACGCGCGTTGAACATAAAATCCGAAGAGCTTTTCGAAACTTCGAGAAAAAATGCATAACGAATAATAATGGTAATAATGATAATTCAAAAGTAATCACAATATGAACCCGCATGAATTTCAGTAGATAAATATTTAAGATTAAGATTGAATATTTAATACTTTTTGGCGATTCGTGTGAGTAGTGATCATCCTAAACGTTCAATTATATATATATATATATATATATATATATATTGTGCCTCGTTATCGTATATCGAAATCAAATTATATAATATCAAAAGTTTTAGTGATGATGACTTCGAAACTGTACAAAATAAAAATCACACGTGGCTTTAAGAAATTCTGAATTTTTTTGATCGTATAATTTTATCCATGTTCTCCAATAAAGTTCCCACCATTTTTCCGTCGGAAAACTGAACATGGCTCCGAAGTAGTCAGCATTGATCGTGAAATTAGTGAAAGACTTTTCACCCTGAAATCACAAAAACCGAAAACAAATTGAACTGGTTTCAATTCAACGAATCCATTAAAATAATAAGTATGAATATTGTAACATTTCAAGATAATTCGATTTCGTAAATAAAACATCGTCACGTAACGGGTGCTGTGATATATTGCATACACAAACAATAAAATTGGTCCAACACATTTTTTTAGAAGCAGTGACGGCGGTAGAGTAATTGGTGCCTTGGACGAATGAACAAATATGCGCCCCTCCCCATATATATATATATGTATATAGTAGTTGCTTCATTGTAATTTTAATTAAATTCAAGTGCCATTTGATTTTTTACCTACGTCAAAAAGCATTATATTTAAAAACGTCTCTTATGCTTATTGTACTACATGTGTATAGATTATATTATTTTCTAAAATATAAATAAATAAACAATAAATTTAATTTACATAACTATTATAATTGTTAATTAGTTATAAATTTACTTTAATTTTAATATTAAAAAAGAAAATTCTAAATGTTGATAAAGACTTTTTTTCTTGCCTTCGATTTTGAAATATTTTTCATAATTTCAGAGAAATCCATTTGTTCAACTATTTCATTTCAATAGAAAGAATTGCTAGAGATGTCAGCTTTTCCTTTCTTAATTATGAACGAAGACACTTTTTTATTATTTTAGTTTTGAAAAACTTCTTTTGCCACAGGAGTTGTTAACAAAATTTTTATAGATATCCAAGTGTTTGGTATTAGATCTGACCTATTAAATTGTAATATATATTCTAATACTGTTTGGAGAATACATTTCTTTTGGTAATGGAGTTTTAATGCGTTCTAACTCAACACATAAATCTATTCCGTTAATATCATTTTGATTTTCTTTCTTAAGTGTATTGTATAAATCTATACAATGTTTAACCAAAGTATCATGTTTGGGTAAATCAGAAATATTTTATAAGAATCCCAATGTATTTTTATGAGCTTCCAATTGTTCAAAATGTGATTGTATTGAAGTTATAGCAGTATCAATTAGACAATAGAAAAAATCTCTTTTAAATTTTTCTTCTGGAGTAGGTTGATATTTGTCTAAGCTTTCATACTAAAATTTATTTTTTTTTAATAAAAAATTAGTAAAAATTCCTGAGTTTAAAACTTGTTTCCACGTTAAAATTTCAGCTAGTAATGAGCAAACCAAGATAGATTTGCTATAGTAGCAGTCATTGTTTTAATCTTGCAGAGCCATTATAGTTTTTATCTTGCTGCAAGACTTGCATTATTTAAAATTTAAAGAAAAAAAATTATATCCCTATCTAGGGTAGGAGTTTGTAGAATTTTATAATTGTTTATTATCTTCAAGATTTAACTAGTAAAACAACATATATAATATGTTGTTTTATATATATATATACAGCTGAAATACATTCAGTTTCTCTATAAGAAATAATATAATTTAAACAATCTTTAATAATCGAAGTTGCTGTTATTATGTTCACAGTAATTCCTTGCATTGCTTTACTGGCAACATTGATTTGAAATAGTAAACCGTACCAAACACTTAGTAATATAAGAAATTCAAATTCACATAGGTTATCGACTAAACATTGCACTTTGTGACGAAGACCAGCTTCAGCATTTGGTAAATCAGAAATTTCTATTAGTGTAATATAACTATATTATTTGTTTCGTAACGTATTGCTTTAGCGGCACTTTTACGGCTTTTTCAACGAGTTGTACATACTTATTTGACAGACAATCCTGATATCTGTCTTTTAAGAATTTCCCAACAACTCACAGAAGCCAAAAATAATACGTATGAACGTTGTATTAATCCAAATAAACTGATCCTTTAGAAGACGATGCAGCATCAGCAACTAACAAATTTCAAAGAATGACAACTGCATGGAATATAAAATGTTCTTGGATTCGTTCTTAATAATCTTGCCTGAACTCCTTGATTTTGTTCTTTCATGTTGGCTCCATTATCATATACTGCAATTGGCCCATGCAATTGGCATATTCAATATTGTCATTTTTGATGGTTCGCTACATGAGCTGTGAAATACGAGTATCTAACACAGTAAAATCAGTAGCAGTTATAGAGTCAATGAAATCTTCTTTTATAATTATACTATTTCCGACCTTCTCCACCGAACGAATAGTAGATTACATTTTTTCTGATTTACTTATATCTGATGTACAATCTATAATAATTGAATAATATTTTGCCTCGTGATGATTTGTTATAATAATATTACGAATGTCATTGACCATTAAGTTTATCAATTGGTCTTGAATTTCATGAATGTAGCAATGTTTTTTTACTCGATTCTATTAGATATGATACGTAAACGTTCTGCCATAACATCATCGTACTTACCAAAAAGTTGAACTAAGCCTAAGAAATTTCCATTATTTGGTTGAAATAATTTATCAAATGTATCTCTAAACTCCATATTGTGTTGAATGAAGTATAAGGTTATACTTATTAATTGATCAAAAACTTTTGTTCAGTGAAAACTTTTCTGATCGTGTATATATTGTTTTTGAGCATCTATACAAATATTTTTTTTTTTAAGCGGGTTTCAGACTTGATCCATATACCAGTAGAAATAAAATTATATGTAGAATAACAGAATAGTCACCCGACCAACGTAATAAAGGTCACTGACCCTGGCACCACAAAGTAAAAATGTTGTTGTCAAAATTATTTCACAATTTAGTAACCGATTCGTAATAATTCGTAACCACAAATTTAGAACTCGTAACTTAAGTATAATGTACCCAAAAATAAAAAATTGATTTTGGGTTTTTATACTTAAGTTACTAATTCCAAATTTGTGGTTATGAATTATTACGAATTGGTTACTAATTTGTGAAACCATTTTAGCATCAACTGTTCGGACGCGTTTTAGGTTAACAGTTACGACTAAAATACAAAGTTTACACCGTTCGTTTCGCTGGTCGATTGATTTCGCAAATAGTTACGCATAACATTAGAACACGAACGTTGTCTTTGCTGTTTGTCTTATTCGCAACAACGCTATTAGAGCCGAACAGTAGGTATGGATGTACTTACGTGAATCGGACATAGATCTGTAATTTTAAATTCGCCTTCGGTCTTCACGTAATACTTGATCGAGTCAAAGTTCGGGCAGAAGTTTGTAATGTTGAACAATATGACGTTTTCGCAATCGATATAATATTCTTTGCACTTGGAAATGCTGACTTTCATCTGAAAATATCGTTTCAAAAACGGTCTCGTGAACAACACCAACTACTCCCTCGTATTATTGACGGTCGCGCACTTGCAGTGACGAATCGAGTAGCGCTCTAGGGCGGCGAAGGAGATTTTCTACTTGGGTCCGTAAAATTTCTCCAGTGCACCGCTGACATGTCGGTAAGAACAATTGTTTTGGTCGGCGGCGAAGCCGTTACGGTTCGACCGAGACGGAGTCCAAAGGAAACGGGAATCCCGCGTTCTTCCTGTGTCTGCCTACCCAAATAACTACCCCCTCCTCGTTCCAATTACACCGACGACCCCTCCCGGGTGGCGAAGAACTCCGTAGGGACGGGTTACCGTCGGTCATTGGCGAGGTGATACTGCCGAGTGCCTATGCCCTCGCGACCGTACAACACGAGAGTTTAGCGGACGTCGTAAGGGCGGACTCACGTGAACTTTGGTAAACGTCCGGTTGGTGTTAAACTGAATGTACAACATGTGCTTGTTGCGCACCGAACGGATCCCGGAGTGGGTGGTGCCTACCGACGAGTTCACGAAGTTCATGTTGAACTTGGTGTAGCGTATCTCGCGGACCAGACTCGACCCGAACACGTTCACCAGACCCTGTTGCACGAGACGGACGCGTTAGAACCGTGTGCGGAGTACCTGGCAGGGTGGTCGTATCCACCCTGTGCGTTTTCTCGTCCCGTCTTACCTCGTGTTTTGTGAACGCGAACAACGCGCACACCGTGACCACCGTCAAAGGGATCGCCTGCCAGTGCATCCTGCTTCCGCGCGATACAGCAACGTCGTCAATCCTTTCTCGCCGGAATCCTTCGGCCCGGAGTGTTCGTCACTACTAACTACGTCCTATACAGACCGTGGGCTCAATGCTCTCCAGGTCGGAACCAATTGCTGTTCCGCATGGCGTTCAATCGAAGTTTTGCAGTTTTCCGTGCGTCCAATTACGTCCGCGGACCGTGACGGCCACGTCCGTGCGATCCCGGTAAAAGATATCACCGAGCCGCTAGCGGTAGGTGCAAACGCACTGCGCTTATTGTTTGTGAAAACGTGGTTTTTTTTTTAAATTTTTATCTGTATTTTGTTGGGAACCCGACGGTTTTCAACCTTCAACGTAACGTTTAATAACGTTTGAACGCGTATAAAACCCGTGATTTCGCAGTACGGAAATTAATACGACACGCGGTGAATTAAATCGCATGCTGCAGATCACGCGATGGAACCTACTCAATACGCATGATCGATCGTTATCGTAGTTTGTGCGGAATTTACATAAATATAATACTGCAATTTTTAATTTTATAAATAATTACTTATCAAGCATCGATTTGCGTCAATGAACATTTTTTTTTTTTGGACAACACTAGTATTGTTCCGATCATAACTACTAGGTAATTAACTTGAAAAATATAAAAAAATATTGAAATCGGAACAAGTCTATTTTAGCAATGATTCTTATGTAATGAACATTACGATTTACAAATACAATTAATTATAATTATTTAGAAAATATGCCATAACCTCAAATAACGTCTATAAGTTAGCGCTCAATTTTACAGTGGTTGGTAAGTTGGAAAGATGGTTGAAATATGTGAAGTCGATGGAGGGAGGGTAAATATTATAAATAAGTAGTAGGTATTTAATTAAATGAAATAAATATTTTTTAAATTTGGCCTTTACCTATTTTTTATTTATTATTGTGTCATTAATACGACTACATATTTGCATTATTTATACCATACGAATATGGTTTTAGTTCATTGAAAACAGGTGTATTTATATTTCGGTACTATTATTCTATATTTGTTTCGTTTTATGAATAACAATGACAAATCGTTTTAAATTAAATATTAGTCGACTTTTTTATTTTTATTCGTATGCTTTTGTGTTAAACAAAACGAAAATAATGGTATTATAAAAATAATGACTAATAAATCTGTGTATTCTCACATGATGTGCGTTGGACGTTTTGATTTTTGATGTTTGTTTTATTTCTTAAAATTTTCGATTTGTGACAATATTGAAAACTATGATTATTTAATTATTTGTAATTTATGTTTTCTTTTTTCCCTTTTAGAAAAAAGTTGAAATGGGCCGCCAATTAATAAGAGAAGACTATTCTTGGTACAACATCATGTTTCAGAAGAGATAGGGAAGACGTTTTTGAGGAGACGTCACCGAACGTTGAATACTGCGCGACGGAAGACTTAGAAGGAGACATTTACGACGAGACAACACAAAGTATTGGACATCAAAATACAGAAGACTTTGGAGAAGAAGTTGTCGACGAGGTAATGGACAGGAAGCGAGATGGTGAGTCCGTTAGTAACGAGTTGGTTCGCAGCGATGGAACAGAAGTGAAATCGCTGAATCTCAGAACGAGTGTACGGACCAATAATAGAAAATTAACAGAAAAACACTACCCGTGAGACATAAATGATAATATGCAGACGGGGTTATCAAAATCAATGCAAATAATATCATAACGTTTCTTCGATAAATTATATTTATATTTTTGCTCAGCCGTTACAAATTCATTTATTACAGAAAACGGTGAGACTAAAATCACTAACAAAATTTGTAGACTACAGTCAGTATGGTGTATAAAATATATACAATGATGCTATGAAAAAATAATTACATTATCATGTATATTATTTGACTATAAGAACTATTGTGTGCGTAGCTATAATTAAAAAAAATATATCGAATCCGAATGCATTGAATGATTAATTATTACACATTAATATGTATAGGTACAATTATTAGTGCTGGATCTGAGAAATTTGACGCCCGGGTAAAATAAAAATGCGACGCCCTTATGTAAGTGAAGTTAAGGGTGTCAAAAGAAAACAAAAAGTATAATTTTATGTACCGAATATTTTTATTGAAACTGTTATTTTCATATATACCTAATTCATATAGTACAGAATGTATCACGTTTAAAAATCATTAATTTATATAAGGACATGAACTAAAAATATATTGGTTACTTTAATTTTTTAAAAAATTGTACTTCTAAATATTTCTAAATTTAAAAATTATTTTTTCTACTATTATAATAGACAAGTAGTTAAGTCTTACCTATATTATATACCTTATACAGAGATTTTTTTTTTTGGTTTCCAACAAGCGAGGTGCATTTGGTATAGCAAATAATGTTGGTAAAGCATTTGGTTTTAGTTTTTTTACACCATCCAGAGGATGTTGTTCGAATTGACCTTCTTCGAAATGGATTTATTAGAATATGCAAAAAATATAAAATAATAAATAATAACTATGTTCTAAAGAAAACGACAAAAAATATTAACATGACTAAATTGTATAAATACATTATGAATAAGGCTTCTAAAGTTTAATCTAATACTTACTTCACACAACTCAGATGAATTTGTAGGTTGCTATTTGTCACTGCGACAATTTTGTAACCAAGTTTTTCGTCTTTTAGAGTCTCTTGGAAACCGAAAAAGACGAAAACCTTCACTATATGTAGACGACGTGTACATGTATAATGCCCCATCCGACGTTAATTCTTGTTGGGATCATTTTATAATTTAATCTTACAAGAGCATAGGTACATAAATTTTTAAAGAGAATCGTATTTATGAATTTCACTGTTTTTTTTTCGCTGTGATTTGTTTTTGAATTAACTATATTTGTTCTTGATGGGCCCTCTAGAGTCGTGGGCCCATGGCCCATTGCCCATTTGCCATCCTATCGGTACGCCACTGAACGCATATAATCCCTACTAATTAGCTATACGCGTAAGTTATTATCTTACCTAGGTACTTATATTTATTGCAAAAGGCCGGTAAAAAAAAATCATGCCCCTTACAATAGGATCTTTGTAAGTATACTTATAATCTTACAAGATTAAAAGTATCTGCTGAATTACAACCACATCTATACCTCGTTAGAAAAAAAAAGTAAATTTTTTTCAATTATATTTATCAATAATAGATTATATCTGCGGCGCACAACATTTATAGTAACCCAAAGGTTTGGCAACAGTACAAAATAGTAGACAAACATTTTCAGATAGGTTAACCGCAGAATACTTATTATTGTTTGGATTTACTTTGACTAAGATTTCTATCAATAACTGCATTGCACTTTTTGACTCTTAGGCATCCGTTCTGTATCATTGCTCAACACGTCTTGAGCTCGGTTAGTGTTCATTCTAATCAAAAATGATAATGTAGTTTTTTGATCAATATCTAAATTTCTAGTCAACTATTTCGAGATGAAGATCCTCTGGGTTAACCGAAAGCATATTGCACTGAAAAATGATTGGATAATAATAATAATAATAATAAACACTTTTAATGACGGTTTGTTTGAAATAATTTCCAACAGTCTTTATATTTAAAGTTTTGTTTACATATCTTAACATTAAGTAGACTAGATTGTACCGTTACGAGTACAAAAAAAAAAAAAAAAATAAAAATATATATATAAAAAATAAATAAAAAAAAAAAATTATTTATAAATGACATTATCTGTTAGGTAATTATACATATTATAATGAAAAAAAACATAATTAGTCCCATGGGAATACACATTATAATTAATATTACCAGGTAATCAACAATATATGATATACTAATTATATTCAATATACATAATATATTAATTCATACAAAACGTTATTAATTGTGTACCCATGTACAATAAAAACACATGTATACACTTGATAAAATAATAATAATACAAATAGTAAGTTATTAAGGCCAAAACATATAATCTAGACATCATCACAACTTGAGAAAATTATTACAACCGTCGAATGGTTATTATAACCCAACACACATAGCATTCTTGTCAATTATTATTTCAAGAGCACGATACTCAAATTTTACTTTCGACCATATATGACTAATGAATAATATGTAGTTAATATTAGATTGTTTTTTAAGACTTCTAATTAATGGCACAACAGATAAAAAATTATAAATAAATTATGGTTTTTAGTGAATTTTTGTGAAACACAATCAAATTATGATTTTAGTATAGAATCCAACCAATTATAATATGTGATTGGAAACCAGAAAAAGTAACTGCTGCTCATAACGGAGAGAACTTTTGATACTTCGATTAAATATCCAATTTGTTATTTATAAGAATAATACACATCCAGCAGATAATAATTAAATCTTAAACAAAATAAATTGTAAAAATTTGTTAGTCTAGGATTATAAATTTGTTTCTGAGGTAATTAAATTATGATTGGGCTTGAGCAAAATTTTATTTTAGCGAATCATCCCAAATAAATGAAATTATTCTGAGAAATTATTTCAATTCATACAATGAAATATAAATGTATACATAAAATAAATTTATTTTATTATCACATAAAATAATTACTGGATGTATATTGAAAAATGTTATTAATTAATTACAATTTTTATAAAAAATGCCATGTTTTATTTGTATCAATTTTAGAGTAACTTGTACCTTCTTGGTATTATTTGGATTTCCGAGATCATATAAAAAAAAAAAATAGAAAAATATGTAATAAATAGGGCTCGGATTTTAAAGCATAATAAATAAAAAAAAAAGCAAAAATGAAGCATATTCATTTTAAAAAAAGCAAAAAAAAGCATTACAAAAAGTTAACATAAATTAGTTATAATTTTATAAAACTGAGTTAAAAAAATTGAAAAATTAATTTAAATTAAAAAAAGAATTTACTACCATGTATTTGGCAAGATTTTCAGAAGTTAAACTGACTCTATTGTCTGACAAGATGTTTTTATACATAGAAAATGACTGCTCTATATCCACCGAAGTAATCGGTGCATACTTAGATATCGATGTTATACGATTAGTGAGTACTGAGAGTAGTTTCTACAGGCTATATGCAATAGCCAATAAGCTATCGACTTCTAAGCTGTGTCTGTAGATCGATAATCTATACCTTTAAGGTCGTTTCACACTAATGGTACGGTTACAGTCTGGCGATGGGTAAAATATAATATCTATATTTATAATAATTTTATAATTATTATTGCGGGTTTTCACATTTCTTATAAGTTATATAAACATTTTTTTCATTACAATAGCATAACAAACAAATAAAAATTCCACAGCTAGAATAACTGAAAAAAGCAATAAAAAAGCAAAAAAAGCATTTATACTAAAAAAAGCAAAAATAAATTTGTTTATTTCGAAACAGATTAACGGAAAATGTATTTATGTATAAAAATTAGATTTTTTTCTTAAATATATAAAAAGAAGCATTTGCTTTAAAATCCGAGCCCTAGTAATAAATAAATAATAATACAAAATAAAGTGGTACAGTCTTTAGATCTTGTTAAATATAAATTATTGATAATGAAATTGAAATTCTGTTATAAATCATTGTTTGAATATAAAACAAATATTGAATTTAGGATGTAAATTTACAAAATAAATGTACTAAAACAATCAACTAATAGTTATAAATTTTATCATTCTATGTACACAAGAATATATCTACATTTGAATAGATTCTAATAGCTTATATATTTACTGGTCTACAAGTAGACGAGACATTTGATGAACCTGTACGATCAGACTGACTTCCTGGACGTACCATAGAATATGTCATGGTGGGTGCTGACGATACAGACATGGCTGCCCATTGTCTGAGTCGAGAATGAATTTCTGTGAAATTAGGTCGCCGTACAGGTGCTTCATGCCAACATTCCATCATTAATGAGTACATTCGTGATGGACATTCTTGTGGACACGGTAGTAGTTGTCGTGAGCGAATCATTTCAATTACTTCTTGGTTGCTATATCCATAGTATGGCTAAAAAAATAAAAAATATATAGTTAAAAACAATATAAAGTTTTAACAGAAATCAAAGTATTTACTTGTAAACCATAACTGTAGACTTCCCATAATACAACTCCAAAACTCCAAACATCCGATTCAGTTGTAAATTTACCATACAAAATTGATTCTGGTGGCATCCATCTTACAGGTAATAATGATTTTGATTGTACTCTACAAAAATTTTATTTTGGATTTTAAATCATGAAATGTGTCAACTAAATTCACCTAACTAGGCTTATTTTAATATCAACCAGGGTATACCTAATATATGTTGCAATTTTTATAAAAAATAAAGTTATAACAATACCAAAAATTATAAATATGTTTAAGTATGATTTATTTAATAAACTTAAAAATAATCAATAAGTAAAAATTATACCGGTAATAGTCAGATGAATAGATATCCCTAGACAGACCAAAGTCCGATATTTTTACTGTAAGGTTTTCAGCAACCAGACAATTTCTAGCAGCTAAATCTCTGTGTACATAATGATGGCCACATAAATATTCCATACCTAAAAAATATTTAATATAATTTTATAAAATTTACTCCAACAGGTAAAACTAGTAATGAATTACAACAATATTTAACCTGAAGCTATCTGTGTAGCAATATACATGAAATCTGCTTGATTTAATGGTGGGGCTATTGGAGAATTAGGCGAATGTGGTGAGCGAGCCATAAGAAATTCATGTAAGTCACCACCTGCCATGTATTCAAACAATAAACAAGCTGGTCGTGAGCACATGCCCACTAAGCAAACAACATTAGGATGTCTTAATTCTCCCATTAAATCTGTTTCACGTTTAAAGTCTGCTGCTGTCTTTGCACTAGCACCTTCTTTTAAAGTCTTAATAGCCACCATAATTATAGTACCCATATCATTAGGCACTTGACCTTTGTAAACTTTGCCTATTAAAATAATTAATACATACCAATGATTAGAGTTTATTATTATTATAAATAATGTACATAGAATTGAATATTTTAATTAAGAAAAATAGATTTACCAAAAGCACCTTCGCCAATTTCTTGTAAAAATGTTATTTCATTCAAAGCGTACTGTCTTACTTTAGAGTATTTATCTGATTTTTGACTTGACGCACTTGATCCAGGTATTAACGATGATAGTTCTAATCCATTAGTTTTACCCTTAACTATATCTTGCTGTAAATAACAATCGTACAAGATTAATATTAAAAATATATTATTTATATTAAGTTGTACATAATTACTTTTTGATTTGCATAAGGTGGTAATCTTCGTCGTATTGCTGAATTTTGTCGCTTTCTTTTTCTTCGAATGCAGCAAATTACCATTACCAATAGAACAATAAACAAACTAATACTAACTGTGCTTACAATGAATATTGGTAACTGAAGAGTTCTCACTAAATTGAAAAAATATACATTTTCAAACTAAACTATTCATTTGTTTATTTGAAAAATATCAACTTACTGCAATGAGGAACATCACAAATCACTTTTTTCAGGAGTCCAGTATCTGGCATTTCTATGACACACCAAGGTTCATTCTCTTCAGCTCCAGGGTTACGACAAAAGCGATGACCACCTTGAAGTTCTTTAAAACTAGAAGTCTTTACAAAAAACTGTTGACTCCATCGAACACATGTTAAATTTTGATATGATGATGTTGTTCCTCTATATGATACTCCAAGTCCCCAATAACATTTCTCATCTATAAAAAGAAATAATATTTTTTATTTATATAACAATTATATATATGTTTATAATTTATAAAATATTATGTAATATTTTACCTTCATTAACTTCTGGTTTCTCAATTCCAAGTTCAAAACAATTAGTTTTTGGTAATGAAGAACAGCTGGGAAAATGAACTACACGACCGAGTAAATGATGTTTTTTTGCAATTGCATATTCTTGACTACATATATCATTTTCCAATAGTTCACAGTCCTGTAAAACAACAACAATAAATATTAAATTATACAAACCATTATTAAACAAAAAAAACCAACCAACCTCTTGACAAATAAGTTTTGGCATAGGTGTAGTTCTATCATCTCTGCATAACGGATAAGCAGTATGACAAATGGAACTGTGAGCATATTTATTGCAGCCGGGTGACATATCATTAGAATGTGATATAACTTTAAAAGCTGAAGTAAGGTTTCCTTCAATAAGAGCTTGAGAAGTATTGGCAGGTATATATACATTTTTTCCTTGCAAATACTTTGTACAATGTGAGCCTTGGTACATCTAAAATCAAAATTATTATGGATATAGAATAACACATTTTTTTCTTTTTAATTATTTAATTTAGATCATATTTTTGTAAGGTATATAAAAAACTAAACAAACTATAAAAAAAACATGTTAAATTTTATTTCTAAAAATTATTTATACAGTTACTGTTTTCATTATAATTACAATAGCAAAATGTTGAACTAATAAATATAAGGTACATATATGACTACATATTGTCAATATTTGATATAATTATTTCCCAATGGCAAAGACCTATCATTATCATTTATCATTTTCAGAATCACTTAGTTAGCCATGGATAAATGGGTTAATTTTTTAAATAGATAATATCACAAATATTAATTCAGTTGTCAGTATAGACTTTGAATCCAAAAAGAATACACGTAAATCTTAATTTTTAATGCGAGGTAATATCGGAATATCATAGCTATGAGAGAAAACAATTATTAATTTAAACAAAAACTTAACTTTGACTGGAAAATTTAACTCAAGGAAAAATTGCTTAGTTCCCTTTTCTAAGCAAATTTCTTAAAAATTCAACAAAACGAACATAAAATAACTTAGAATTACTTTTACAAAAATGCTTAGAAAAATGTTCAATTAGAATTCAATAAATTCTAGAAAACGTAGACCTTTAGTAAGAAATAATTTTGATATTTAATTTGATAAAGTTGAAAAAAATATTTGTGAGTTTCAAGAATAAGTTTTCGATCTCTAAACTAACTGAGTTTTTAAAGAAAATATTTTTCCAAAAGTACTTGAAAATATTTAAATAACATACTTATTAAAGATAGTATTTCTACTTTAGTTGTGACTAAAGCAAGATACAGAAATTATCTTGATGATTGCATGATATTCAGTGTACTCATTGTATAGTATTCATGGTAAGAAATATACAACTTAACATTGAGGAATTAGTGTAGCATTATGGAAGTCATTAGGAATGTTATTCTGAATTTCTCTATTATAAATAACATTATTCATAAATATTTTCTTTAATACATTTAAATTAAGAATTGCAGTCACGGTCATTAAAAGGTTAGAAACCACTGTTCTTAATGTTTTACTTACAAATCATATGAAGTAAATAACACTTGAAATTTATTATATTATTCAAATTTGATCTTAGAAAAATAAATTTAATTAGAAATTAATATACATACACAAATTTTGGTTCAAAATTAAAAATTTGATTAAAATTACAAATAAACAATAGAAAAGTTGTAACTAAATCATTGTTCATTGAATAACAGGAAATATATAGAATAATGTTTTTAGTATTTAAACATCCTTATCATATTATTGAATAAAGAATACTAATAAAATACTACTATAAATAATAACTATTTATAATATATTTATTATAACTATTAATAAAGTTGAAATAAAAAACAAAATTTAAGAATAAAGTGGATTTATTATCTTTTAACTCACTGATTTAGAAATAACAACATTATTATTTAACCAAAACTTTCATAGGTATTGATTAAATACTTAATAGCGATCATATAATCTCGAAAAATCAAAGAATTTACAAGATGTCTTTTAGCAGTACTGCTTTCTTGTCGAACTTCATTTGGTATTGCATCTCTAGTAATATCATCTGGTTGTATTTGACTTTTAATTTCAATGGCATCATTGACTTCACATAATATTTGCTGTAAATTGTTCTTGCAAGTCACAAAGTTTTTTAAAAATTGATGTTCAGGGAAATCAATTTTTTCAGCATCTTCAAGTAATTTTTCTAAGCCAACTGACACCCGTTGTAATATTTCATAAGTAAATAATAATTCTTCAGGAAATGAACGAGAATTTAGAAATGATCTTGGTAAATCATCTTCAGCACTTTTTAGTAAGCGTGGAATCATCCAAGAATTATTTTCATTGGCCCATCTCTCATAATGATTAAAATAATCAATATTGAATGTTCTCATAATGAAGCAAGTTTTGAATGAATTAATATTATTTTGACTTTGTTTGGCCAAATTTAATATACGATAAATAATACTGGCATCACTATCGTCTTCATTATTATATGTGTCATAACCACAAGGGTTAATCCAAAACGGCGTATTATTTTTTGATGATACATAATTAGTAAGTGATGTACATACAACATTTGTCGAAAAAAAAAAAAAAAAATACAATGATAATAATAATATGGCATACATTGGCATGCATTTACTCACGTAACATGTTAAACATTTAAAATAAATCAAAGAACTGAACTGATGAATAAAAATACATTTATTTTATACTGATATTTAATGAATATTTAAAATTTTAAAATTCATAAAATGAGTCATTGAAAAAAAAGAATATGAAAATTTAAAAACTATAAGGTGTTTTCAAATAGACCAAATAATTTGTTTCAAATTAGTCAACTGTTAATACAGATGTTGGTTTATCTGTTTTATAAAAATTTAAAATTACACCTATTAGAAATAGAATATTTTAAAATTTCTATGAATACCAAATTTAGGAACATAATTCAGGATTATGTAAGAATGTGGAAAATAATCTAGATTAGCTTGCAAGATATAAATTAATGAATATATTTATTTTGTTTCAATATACAGCTTATAAAATCTTTTAATTTATATTATATATACTTTGACTAAACTATTTATCACAATTTTATGTTTATGTTAACAAGACTTATAATATTTTGAGTATTATGAAAATTCCTATATCAATAAGAAAAAAAATCGAGTTATCAAGTTTTTCGAGTTATAGCAATTCGACTGTATACATATATCAAAATATTAAGTAAGAATTGTTTTTAACACATATTAAGTTAATTTCTAGTTATTTAAAAAGGTAATAATGCATGAAAACAATTTATAAAGGAATACTTTGATTTGAAAAAAGATAACTTTTATTATTCTCAATAATCATAACGATATTAAAAGAGAAAACAGAGATAAAAATAACTATTTAATGAATAGAATTATTTTAAAAACTATCAGGGGGAATAAAAAAGTATGGCGAATAAAGGTTATAAACTCAATTTGGCTTATAAGCTTATTTTCAATGATATGGTTAATATTAATTTAAGTATTTGGTTTAGTTTCATATTTGTGTTTAATTTACTTTAATTTAAATATTTACTTCAATACTTTAAAAGTTACATTAATTTTATTTTAAACTAAAATAGTATATAAGACTGAATGTGGTGTTAACATATAATCAGTATTGTTGTAATATTATTATCATAATAAATACTATAATAATTAACTTGAATAAATTACCAATTAAATAACACCATTCAACAAGAAAATTATTAATAATTTAATCTATAATTACATAATATGAGTGTTGTTTTAAACCTCAAGCTAAATCATTTTACATTTAAGTTATATTTTTTTTAATTTGTGCTTTAGTATGAAATATACTATACAAGCGGAAATGAATAAAATATATCAGATTATAGTACAGTGGATTTTGCTTAAGGTGGACACATTGGGACCAAACCCATTTGTTCACATTAAGCTGTTGGCCATACAAACTAAATTTAATTCAAAAACACTAACATTTTTAATATTAAAAAGTTTTTATTTTGCACACAAAAGCCATAAAATTGGCAAAAAATGTTAAATTAAATGAATAAAAAAATAAATACACAAAATAATATTGGATAATATTATATCAGAATTAGGGATCCTAGATTTGTTTTATAAAAATAGGGGACATTTTAAATCATACCTATTTTTGAAATTCACATTTGTGTTAATTTGAGTAGAGGGTGATGGGACTTATGTTAACAATTAACATATTACAAAATTTAAATATGTGATGTTTGTTGTACAAATTCTTTGTAAACATTTGGGAGCTAAAATTACATTTGGCCTTGATGTAACTTTTCATTTTACTCATAGTTACTAAATATACTATAAAATAAAGTTAAACAAAATATTTGATACTTCAAACAAATATAAATTATGATTAAAATTGAAAATAAATAATTAGATGACTTGGCAATTTTTTTTATTTATAATAAAATATTATTATCATTTGATTTAAATATTATGACTTATCAATAGTACAAAATAATACAAAATTTAAAAAGCTTTATGATGCTTAAAAAATTTAATTTTTATAATAAGGTACATACGAAATGGATTATATAAAATATGGGATAAAATTTCTATTTTTATACTTGTGTCAGGACACCAGGAAACTTTATTCAAATACGGAACAATCCCGTAAAATATGGGACATATGGGATCCCTTATCAGAATACATAATTTTTTAGCCAATTTTTTCCTTGAGGGAAAGATTTTTTCAAAATATAGTCGAAAACATTCACAATCACGTGGAAATTCATGGAAAAACTAAAATGAATGTGGTCAAGTTAGGGAAAGAAAGCCACAAGTATGTCGTTAAATTTTATTTTTTTTATTGCTCTTGATAAAACTTCTATACATTCAATTGAACTCGTAAAAAAATCTCATTTAAGGTTTAAAAGTTAATGATTTTTATTACTTTTGATAAACACAATCTTATAAATATAATGAAACCCAATTATATTAGTTGTTAACACATATTCTAATGCTATGATAAATTAAAATTGCCCACATAAACCAAATTAAGTGTCCATATTATGTGATATTTTTTTAACTTTGTTAGCATACATTGGATTTGGGACCAGACCATTTTGTTCATATTAATCGGAGCCCACATAAGACGGAATCAACTGTATTTTACTAGGCACAGTGTTTGCTACAGTTCTTATAACAGTTAACAGTTACAAATCATAGGATCTAAAAAAAATCAAATTAAACATAAAAAAAAAAGTAAGACTTACTTGACATATCGGGTAGTGAAGTACTTGGCTTAGCTCTGGGATGCTCTCGAGAGGGCTTTGCTGTTCATTGAGTCCAAGATTAGCGTCGATTTTGGTCTCCCTTAAGCAAAAAAATGCAATTAAATTTTGCATAATTCAACAACAACGGTCAAATACCTTTTGGCAAGAGTTTCGGCGCAACACGTTACAAAGACAGTAGTTACTAGTATGTAAAAAAGGGGAAAAAACATTGTTATGCCGTGTGTGGGACAACACTAGAGGAAACTGACAAGTCTGATCTATATCTACATAAATGCTACTGAAAAAGTCTACGATTGAAGACTCGAAATCACGGTAATATCGCTGGACAAGTGGACATCCTAACAATAACAATAATCTTAGTGGTTAAAGCTTAATGACGTCCTGCAGTATCCCACCAAGACGTAAGTTGATACCGTTGAAGTGATACCACTAGAGATATTTGTATACATAACAACGCGCATGCGCTCAAATACGCTACCCATTGATCTCGTATATCTATGGACGGCGGCGAGGTATTTATAACGTCTTTGGCACCATCTTATCGGTAAAGCGGTAAATTTAAAATATCCTCCGCATAGTGGCGGATTTAAAGGTTCAAATGAAGTCGGCAAATTCAAAAAAAGCGCCTCGTAATAAATGTATCACTAACATTCTTAGCACCGTTTTACAAAGCTAGCTTATAAACGATATTACAGTTTGTATTATAATTTTTTTTTGTGGTAAAATTTAAAAATAAATTACAATTTTTTTGGACCTCAGTAAACAATTTAGGAAGGAGTTCCGTCGGAATTCGACGACTGAACAACCGTTAAATCCACTACTACCAATGCACCAAACCGTAGCAGCTATTAACTAAGATATACTCTTGCAGTATTTATCGTGGTTTCAGTACAGGTGTTGACACGCAAAACGCGTACATTTGGCGTTGCTCAAGTTATTAACAAAGTTTTGAATAGGCTGAAAACAAAGAGTTTTTCCCGGACGCCACATCATAAGTCGTCCGCAAACTAGAAAAAACGTGTGGAAGAGGAATGGTTCAGCACTCCAATCGTTTAATTTCGTTTCGAACGGTTCACCACATGATCGCACGGTTAACCAAGGGCAACGATCCACGTACGCCGATGATCGTTATTGGTACTCCACCATTCGACGGTACGGTACAGTCGTATAGAGAGAATAAAAGAACGGCCAGGCTATGAGAGTTAATCGAGTTAATTTAACAAACACACAAGTTAAGTATATGTGCATAACAATTGACATACAAAGATTGCTTATTTTCATCTTATATTTGTTTAGTAACTCCAGAATAAGAACCACATTACGAGGCAGCTCTATCACAACATTGTTCTCCCATTTTTTCTAATTTTTATGCTTAAAGATTGCAAAGTACTTTTTAATAAATATGAAAGGGTTTCACAACCCATTTTTTTCGTTCTATAAAAACCAATAAAACGTTCTAACACATTTAATATTTTATACTACAAGGATTAAAGTATAATAATAGCTATAACCACCTGTTTTGTACTTATTTTAAAATAAGATATGTTAAATATCAAAGGGGTAACTATCTCTCATAATTTATTCTAGGAGGAAAATTGCCCCCTTGCCAACCCCAGTTTTCGTCTATGTGCAAAGAGGTGACTTTCCGAACACGAGTCCACATGGTGTCAAACATGTAATCGTATTCCGAAAGATACAACGAAATTGACTAACCACGTTTCGGTTATGTTTTCGAACACGTGGTGTATTTAAATCTTGATAATAATTTGATTTTGATTTTAGAATTGACACAATGTGTTTTTAATAACCACTATATTTCGTCAATGTGTTGAAATGCGTTCGAATAGCTTATAACTTTGTGGGTAAAGATACATGGTATACATTCCACGCACACGGTAAAAACAATAAAAAAATAAAACTACATGATTTCCCTACTTCGTTCTAAACAAAATAAGAAAATAATGCCTTTATTGTTGTTGGTGTCATTACCGATCGACGGTTTACATGAAAAAACAGTTTTGATTCGCCCTGATTTCATATTATAATTTAGTTAAATATATTAATGCGGTACACTCGCGCTTTAACTCTAAAACTATGTTATCTATTATTCATCTAACTACGTGTATCCACCTATGTAAGCTTTTAGGCAATTCGGATTTATTGATTATTTCAGCGAACCCATCTTAAAATATTAACCTAACACATTTGAAGATGAAATCGGCATTTCACGATGAAACTAAACCTTAATTGCACTTTTTTGGATTCCTAGAACCCACCACCACTAACCGCAAAAAGACATAACCGACAGTCGACTTACCCTTCTAGCATAACTGGATATTGGTTTGAAAATCCGAAATGTGGTATGTCTACATTTGATTCATCGTGACCTGTAAAAAATAATACATTTTTGATTTAAAATACAATTAATGTAACTTTTGTCTCCATAACAAGCTTAGCTACGGAGACAATTTTTGTATCAATGTTAGATTTTTACTATGTATAAATATTTGTTTTAATATATATATATGTAAATATGCTACATAACTTATTAAATGAAAATAAATAAATAATATTTAACGTATACTTGCAACAATATAAAATATATGTGTTCATTAAATCGATGACACTATTCACTCGACTCGGAGTATAAGAAACGTTTGTTATAATTGTTTTTATATTTCACGTTCGTCATTTTAGACATGATAAACAAGCATCCCATCTCATATTGCGTATTCATCTAAATATCTCACATGTCGTGCAAAAATAATATATTATATAACCTACAGGTTAATATAATTGCAATGCGGTCTAGTTTAATATCTAACCCTGTTACACCAGTGTAGCGTTACAGTATATGTATACGTATTAGGTTTTCGAACTAACGACCGTATTTGTAATTAGTGAAGGGGAATAATTAGTTGCACTTAAACAGTTGAAATAAAACCTGACAGTATACAAACTGCTAAATATTGTCAATTATATCGAATGATGGGAAAAATGAATTTCCATACAATGGACACGAGTGGCCAAACGGAGGAGTAAAAAGTGATATTATTCGATAGGACAACATAACATCCAATAATAATAATTATATAATAATGATATAAGAACATAATAATTATTGTTCTGCTGAAGTATTTTAAAGAGTATTTCTATACGTAAAATATTATACATATACTACAAAACAATAATATTGATTTGAAAAAAATGTCTGTTATTTTATTCAATTTATAAGTTCAACGTTTCGTCGTATTTATTAATAACGTTAATATTGTTTCTCAACAAATCGATGAAAATGTTAACTGATTTTAAATGTACAAATAAAATCGTTAAAGTGATAGGCCAACAACATTGCACGAATGTATAACGATACAACGTTCAAGAGCCTCGAAACGTATCATTATTATTTTATTATAGTTATGTACATACATTTAAATTTTATTCAAGCCAACATATTGTAAATATTATATTTAATAATTTTGAGTTTTTTCTTATATACATATATATACATAAATATATATATATATATATATATTTATGTATATACATTTATACATTTTGAACTATTAAGGTTCATATTCTGGATCATAAAAAATTAGAAATCACGGTCTGTTTTCAAAATTAAATTGTAATTGATTATGAGAAAGGAGTTCAGAAGCAACGGGGAACACGATTGAAATATGCACCTCAGTACATTCTGGAAAAATTAAAATCGCTGATAAAGAAATGCTATCAAATAGAAGATAGTTTTTGTAAGATAAACAGAAGAAGTTGAAATGTATATTACTTTTGAGTATAGTTGGCGTTTGATCCCCGTAGCACAGTTTCTCGGGTTGAAAATTTAGATTTATCTAATTCGCATAGTGGTGATTTAATGAAAAATATGAGAACGGTCGGAAATTCAAGTTGACGTTTTATGCGTGTGTCTGTAACTTGCGTTTAGTAATAAATGATATTTATGGTAGCGTAAGTCGGTTATTTTGATATGGATGAGATATATTAAGAGGAACGTATAAATAGTACGTAAGTGCAGGGTCGGTGATTGTCATGTTTTGTTTGATATGATTCGCTGTCTCCATCTTTTTATGTGATCCGATCACCTTAATTATCGTTAAGTTTCTTAGAAAACTTGCAAATTAATATAGATAGAAAAAAGTGTACAGTTTTAAGCAGATATAAAATTTATTATTGGTTACACTGTTTTACACGGAATACTTATGATCCATACGAAAAACGAAATACGATAAGTTAATTTACGGACAGAAAATTTAAAGTGGTCGAGTTGCACGAGTTTACAGGAAGTTGCACGGTTACGTTCGCATTTTATTGGAATGTCATATTATATCTTTAGCGATTCCGACAAAAAAAAATTATGAAATCGATCATTGTCAAATCGATTACAATAATTTTCGTTCGCGCAGAATAAAACACGTTCTAATTTAGGTTTTTTTTTTATCCATTCCGTAAATTTTAATAACTATGTCTACATGTATAGTATGAACGCTACATAATTTCCCGTAGTCACTGGGTAGCTATCGAATCTTATTAACCGTAATTTTACACATTTTTCGTAAATGAACTAAATAAAATGATCACCGTAGTCTAGATTGAAAGTTTATGGTTTGTAAAAATAAACATTTCCGATAAGGTGGATTAGAACAATGCATAACTACGCCATTATGTACTGGAGAGAGTCAGTTGCTTCAATATTTTAAGAGGGAAGCAGTTGTTAAAACAACAGTTTTATTACCAACGCGCTCAGATCTAAAAACCAACAGACTTCATATAAACATACGTATAATAATCATATAAGTCAACAAGCATTATCCAGGATTAATAGGTTATTATGTATTAGAATTTTTCTTGCCTGACATTTATATATTATCCTATATGTTTCATCAAAATTATCAATAAAAATGTTTTTTTTTCTATATCATTTTATTTGTATGTTTTATAAAAAAAAAACGATTCACGCCGTACTACTTTAACCAAATTTATACATACACATCAATAATTTAATATTAATTAACACTACCAATGTAGTGATGGTAATTAAAAGAAAATTTCAACTGCATCGATTTAAGATGCGCGTGTACAAAGACATTTATACATAAGGGTACATGTAAAATGATTGGAATAGCTCTATTCGAACTTCTTCTTTTGGTACATATAATGCACAAGTATTTCTGATCCTAACGATTGCCGAATGTAAATAACATAAAACGCAGCAGTAGCGTAGTGGTATACTAAAATGTGTGTAAATAAAACACACACACACACACACACACACACACACACACACATTCGATTATTCCAACGGATTCGAGAGTTCGTTTCACACGCGCAGTACGTTCACTCATGTATGGTAGGTTATCCAGTGCGTATAATGAACTTGAATTAGTTCATTTAATTGTTAAAGTGAGCAAACTGTAAGTAATATACATGTAGATGTACAGTAGCAATAAGTCCAGAATTATTCGAGCTCAAAAAATAACTCTAGGCGTATTGCATTTGCGTATGTACATACAAACTGCGCACGAGTATTAATGTAAAACCAATGTTTAGCGCGTTATAAAATGTTCAACAAACAAAAATAGGTGGTATAAACAAATGTATTTAAATTTAATTTCGTTGACCGGAACACGCATAACTATAGTTCAATCAGACGAATGGGTTCGCGATGTATGCGATGTACTCAGTATGCGTTGTACCTGTATATCATAGACCTGTGTATCAGGATGTGCCTAAAACACTTTTGGATCCTATCTTAACAAAATGTGTAGTTATATTCAATTTAACATAACTTTAATTTGTTATTAAATACTGTGATATATTTGTCCCAATGAATATGTTTTCTTCTTTGAACTTCGTATATTTTTCTCAGATACCTTCAACTATTTATGATTTGTGCTTCTTTGGACAACTGTAGCTGTTTATTATCATAAGTTTTTGCAGGAAAATTTATTTTTATTTTTTCTATTACGAAACTATTATTCAAATATTTTTTATCAAATAGTTTAAAATAAATAACATTTGATTCGAGCAACAATAGATAAAATACGGCTCCTTACTGTTTTCCTTACTCTTTTTTAAGGTTTAAATTGTAGGGTCTCGTTTACAAAATATCGAGGAGTGTCCGAACATACCCGGAACCCACCCGTGCACACACCTATGGTAATAAGATAATGTTTTGTGTACTTAGTATTAACAAGCGTAATATATTCGCACTGTTCGATTAAAAATAATACGAATATACATTATAATAAATCGAGTTGTCCTGCGGCGATTCCGGGTCTATGTCTATTGTATACATGTTGATCGGTCGTATCGTTTGTCTTAGTTTGAAAGCGATTCTGATCGAAGGTCGGTGCACAATGTACACATGCACGTAAAAAAGTGGCACATATATCATGAGACTTTTGAACATCTTAGATCAAAAATAAAATAAATTAATTGCAAATATTCGAAAAGCGAATACATTTTTCTACAACGTTATTCGTTAACGAAAAATAAAAATCAAACGGACGACCCCATGAGGTTTTTTGGTACTGTGTAACATTTTTTAATATCATGGCACCGAAGAACATTTCAAATCGCAACAAACGTATCGATACTTGTAATACCGAAACGAATACAAACATTTGCTGCGGAACCGTCGGACACTTGCCAGAAAAATTAAACTGACGAGACCGAGACGCTTCGTATGATAATATTACGAAAACATAGGATACGATGGTGGTTTTCGATTTCGTAAAGCTTTTTGGGTGTGGATGCGAAAGCGTTCAAGAGACCATTATTTGCGCATATATAAAATGTTAGGCCTAATTATTATCTACGAACCGTAGCCCAACAGTCTTACGGCTACGACGATCGTTCGCATTGCACACCCGAACGCGCAGGACGTGCAATTGCATACGGATTGAACTTACTGAAAGGATTGATTTTGACCATTAGAATGGCGGTGGACTGGATCTTTTCGATGCCGTTGGTGGCCTCGCACTTGAAAAATCCCGTGTCGTGAACCTCCAGCTTGTTGATCCGTAACCGGGACCCGAGTCCGTTCTTGTGTCTGGACTGGAACCGTTTGACCGTCAACCGGGGCTTGGACTTCTTCTCACCCACCCCATTCCCGCCGTCCACGCCGCCGCCCACCGGTACCTCGTTCATGTACCACTGGATCCGGAGCGGTGGCGGTTCGCCGGTCACCTCGCAGTTAAGCTTCACCGATTTGCCCGAGTCCCTTGTCACGTTGTTCAGCTGTCGCACGAAATGCATGATGCCTGCAGCACACAAAAAAATAAAAATGCATCATGCACGACGATAAGGTAAATACGTACAACGCGTAACACGGCATGTTTACCGTTTGTTATTTTTATATAAAAAAGTTTTACAAATCTTAATGGGCGGCGATGAATATACACATCTATACACATTAGGATGCTTCTTATTTGACCGATGTTCGAATATCAATTGTGCAGCCCCTCCATTAGTTTTTAAAGAATGAAATTTTCATCAAAAAAATAAGAAAGAGAAATACTCAAATTATCAATTAATAACATTCCTGATGTTATAGTAATTTCGAAGCTTTGAAGACATGTTATTTGATATTAAGGATAAGAAGAATTATGTAAAATTAATATTTAATTAACTGTAATTTGAAAAACATTTTAATCAAGTTGAAATTAGATAGTTAAGATCGCTATACGTTATCTTTAAATACGTATGAAGTAATCGTGAGAAAAGATTAGTGTAATATAAAATAATTTGTATTGATGCGTGAGAACTTAAAATATACCAGTAATAATAATTTTTAATTAAAACAAATAAAATATATAATTGTTTTGTATTATTTTTGTGAAAAAAAAATCTCACAATCTACAATAATAATATCATTATATTACTAACATTTAAATATTCAATTAAATACTATTTTATACAGGGTGTTTCTGAAATGGTTGAGTAAATGCGTACTCTCTGGAATGGCCAAATGAAGAATCTTTTGAAATGGTTTTTCTATCTTAAAAACTTGGGGTTTATTTAATTATCTTTAGAACATTATTTCGAATCTGAAAATTAACACTTGTAAGACATTTTTTGTTACTTTCTCATAAGATTCGATATCTGACATCGATCTTGGGCTTTGAAATTTTCACGCTTGAGTTGCCAGGATCAAAATATGTGGTGCGACATATCGATATTTATAAGAACTCTGCAAGATAAACAAAGGTGATATTTATTTGTTGTAATTTCACATATCCGATTAATTAACAATGGTTTTCATTGAATTCAAATAAATTTTAATTATTTATGATTATTTTACAATAAAAACTGTGTTAATTAATCAGATATGTGAAATAACAGCAAATACATTTCACCTTCGTTTATTTTACAGAGTTCTCATACAAGTTGATATTACACCAAATTTTCTGATCCTGGCGACTCGGGCGTGAAAAACGGACGACAAACCCAAAATCACACATATCACATATTGCATCATATATCGATTCACACGAGAAATTTGCAAGAAATCTCTTAAAAGAATTACTTTTTAGATTCGAAATAATGTTTTAAAGATAAATAGATAAAACCAAGGTTTTGAAGATAGAAAAAAATTTCAAAAGATTCTTCATTTGGCCACTCCAGGGAGTACGCGTATACTAATTTCCTCAACCATTTCAGAAACACCTTATATATGCATAAACACTAATTAAAACATTAAAAACGCAGGAGTATTAATACATAATTGTAAACTATCATATCACTGGAATCTGGATTACCGTCATCAATAAAAAGGAGTGTGTATTTCGAGTATATTTATATATGTACAGATTGTATCAATAAAAACAGGTATTCTTATACGAGTTTTTAAGTTTTGAACATAATTTACCATTTGAATATATTTATAGAAAAAAAAACTATTAATTAACCTGTAACATAAATTAAGATTATAATATTTAATTGTACTTTTATATTACATTAATGTATTTAGCTTTTTAGCGATTTATGAATTTTCATATCATAATATTTTGTAGTAATAAATATTATAGGTAGTTAAATTAATAATTATTCAGAAAAGCTATTATACTAATAATTAATATCTTAAGCCCTGTAAATTCGGAAGTTGTCCTTGAACACAGATGTAATATTTAAAAAAAAAATAATTTAATTACTCATAAATTATAAATTAAATAAAAATATATATGTTAATCATTTCGGATTAAAATCATACATATCACAGTATTCTAAATTCATTTATTTTAAATTTACTTCATTTATTACAAAAGTTTATTTTATTTTCTAACTTTTTAAATTATTATTACTTAAAATTTTTTATACATTAACTAAATATATATGAATATAAAAAAATTAATGAGGTATCAACAATCAATTATAATATTTGTTCTAGATTAAAGTAAAAATTAAATAGGTAATATCTGTAGTTCATAGAAAATTATTATCTTACTTGATCTATTTCCTTTCGGTAAAGGTACGTCAATGTTTTCAGTTCTGTCAACAAAAATTAAATAATACATTTTACCATTGTAACCTCCTGTACTTATTTCAAGTATAAAAATCTTTTTACTCGTAAGCTACTGAGGAATTTGCATCCATATCGTAGTCATCATAATTGGAAATGCTACTGTACTCTTCAATATTAGGTGCTGGTTCTCCTTCATCCGTAAAAACTGTAAAAAAAAAAAAAACATCAAACTCTGTTCAGATAAGAAAAAAAACACTTGTATTATATTATTAATAAATGTATTGAATCGTGTATGCCTTATATATACAAATACGTTCCACAAATGCAATAAAAAAGCCAAGTCATACATGTATAACTGTATACAAAGTCGATACACATATTATAGTCGGTTTTATTACAGCAGGATTTAAAACGGGGATGGAAAAATAATATCCTCGATGGCTGATCCTCGAAACGATTCGCCCACCTAGGAAATCCACAGAGAAACGCGCACAAGTTATATTATCCACCTATACACACATGCACGTGTCGAGGTTATCGAAAATGTTAGTGGATAAATACTGTAACGTATGGCAGTGGTTCTTAAACTATTTTGTTCACAGAGCCTTAAAGATTTAAAAAAAAAATAATCACGGAGCTCCAAAAATCAGGAATATCAACTTTAAAGAGTACAACTCATGAAAAATTATATATCAATGATTTGCTCATTACTGTACTTTTTTTCATAATACGTATGCTGCCGTATGAATAAAAAGTATTTTATTCTATTTGAAAGATTTTTAAGTTCTAATGTTTTTTTTTTCATTTACCATAGAATATCAATATTTGGTTTGATGAAAAAAAGCTAATATTCATATCTGCTTACACCTATAATATATGTAAATGTAACTAATAGTTATTGGACTATAAAATAATAATTTAATGATATGTATTCTTAGAGCACAGAATGAGAACCGTTACAGTAACTCATGGTATCACATAAAATACATCGAAAGAACGCGCATATAAACACATACACATACATATGAAAATATACATAAGAAGTTTCTATTCAATCATGAAGTATATATGCTTTGTTGAATAGGATTGTTTCCGTACAGGGATGCAGTTTATTGTATGAAAACGAATAGTTTTTCCGGGTTTAAAGTATTCGAAAGTTCAGAAACCGAGTGTCAAGAAACCATTTTTAATTGAAAATACTTTACTTTTTGCATTGTGTAGCTATATTAAAATATATATTGCGCATTCTTCGAGCCAAAAGAGGTACTACACGTTGCTGGAATTCTATGCAAATTGATTTTAAAATTAAATACATATATATTTATTATTTATGCATTTATATTTCATACCAATAAAATGTGGATTTTTTCCCTGTTTAAAAAAGTTTGTTTTATGAATACAAGAAGTTTGAGCGGAGCGTAATAATACAATTGAAATGTTATATTAACTTTTCGTTTTTCAATAAAACTCACCGATTGTTTGTCTGTATTCGCAGATACCATTTTGTTATTTAGATGTAATACTCGGTTCGGTTAATTAAAAAATAAACCCTACTTGTTAGTTTTTCGATAAAATTTATTTTTTTTTTTTTAAATCAGTGATATTATGAAATAAGTTACAAACGACACAGTTCAGTGTTAAAATATTTCATTATTAAAAAAAAAAAAAATTATTTAAAAAAAAAAATATGAAAACGATTGTATAGTTGAATACTTTGACACCGCGTAGTTGATAAAAGACGTTTCCGGTTCAAACATAATAATATTATGTTATACGACGCGTAAAGTTCTAATTTCGAGAATTCTTCTGGGTATCTGCGAATTTTTCAAGATGGTACAAGATATTTAAAAAAAATCATTGTAATCCGATAATATAAATGAAAAAAATAAAGATGGAAAAGAGAACCACAACGAAAACGTCCACCCCGTTCTACACTCGTACGGTATACATCCGAAACCACACGGTTCTAACGGCGTGTCCAAGTGGCGTGTCCTTAACCAGGTGCCTCAACCGTCCTTTATAGAACGTACAATACAATGCGGACATTATGAATACATATATTATAATCCACTCCATCCATATTTTATCGGACATCTGTCAACGGTAGAGAAGATGCGCGTTCTGCTGCGGACATGCTACAACGCACGACGACCAGTGCACACGTCATGTACCCTATATATTTATACATGTATATACTACAATGCACCTACCAACCCGCGTGGTTATGACGGACACGCCGAAGAGTTATCAACACAATAATACGTAGCGAGTCTCTCGCGCGCACACATACACACACACACACACACACACACATACATATATATATACACACGTGTATACGAGTGTACAATGTAAATTTAATCTATATGCCTACACGTATACATAAAACAAGAATGCACACAGATACATACGAGTATTTTGTGCGCGTATGTGTTTTTAATCGGATGTATTCTCATGAATAAAACGAGGACAATACGTATCACGGCCCTTACGGATCGCACCCAAAGTGTATACCTACCTAACGTGGTTTAATTTATTGTACATAACTACAATAATAACCAAACAAGTGCGTGTGTGTGTGTTTGTGAATGGTGGTGAGATCATTGTAATTTACTTTATATAGTATCGAACCGAACTGAATGCGAGCATTGTACACGAGCAATTTAACGAAACAGTACAATGATACACTACAGGATAATGAATTATGAAACATGTGCTCATCAATATACCACGTTAATATTTTCTATGCAGATTTAGAATATATTCTGACTGAGAGGACCCATTGAAATAATAATTGTTCGAATCAGGGCCATCACAAAGGGAGCCCCTTTAGAGTCCAGATTGATTAGAAATACTCGACGTTACCCATTCGATTGATATTAATATATTATTTTTCTTTATGAAAATAAATTTAATAAATTTAACTTAAATTTATATGTATGATATAATTTTATTAAAATTTACATAGTATTTATACTATATATATAAAAATACTTCAAAATATACTACTCTAATTATGTATTTATTTTCAAATATTTGCTACCCACGTCTGCATCAACAGGAAAATGATCTATTAGCAATTTAAAATTAATAAAAAGTTACGTACGTTCGACAACAATACAGAACCGTCTGAATTATTTAATACTTATTTTCATTGAATATGAGTTGACCATAAATTGATTATTAAGTTGATTATAAAGAAGTTATAGCCAACTCTGCTGGAGAAAAACTAGGAAAAAATGTTTTTAATTTAAATTATGTAATGTAAGTGCCTAATAAATTAATAAAACTAAAATGAATTAAACAAAAAAAAATATGATGATCTTAATTGATTTAATCCTTTTCGATAAACCAAGCTATTATTTCCTATGGGTGTTTATAAATTATTCAGGAGTAAATTAAAGTAATTGGTAATGCATTGTTTAGAAGTAAATAATTCAAAATGTAATTCATTGTATCGATGTATTTTAATTACCTTGATTGATTGAGGTTCAAACCTTCGGAAAACTATATTTAACATTTTGCAAACTTGAAGAGTATTTTTTCATCATACTTGTATATTATTGTGATGTTTGAGGGACCCAGAATTAATTTGCCCCAAACCCTGAAAATCCTTAGGACGGTTTGGTTCGAAGATAAACAATCTTCTATGAGTTATAAATCTATAAAGATTCTTTTCCGCACTATTGTGCGTATTTTTCGTCGAAAAATAACAATTGGTTTTTTCTGGTAACGTCAATATGATGCCACATAGTTTTGTGTAGTACTCTTATCGATCTATAACGAGAAATAATAAGCTGTTTTATTTTTCTAATTACTTTGCCATTCCGGAGGGGTTTAATGATTAATTATTAAAGCGTTTGAATTTTCTTTAATGAGAAGGGTACCCGATAAATTCTTGAAAACATGGTTATTATATATGTATAGGCTATAATGGTGGTAGGTATACCGTTCTTAATACTTAACAAGTACTCTAGATAGTACAAGACACTAATACTGATTTTTCATCGTGTATATATATATATATATACTTTTTTTCAAAATTATGTGAGCACCATTGCATTTTACGATATCTCTTTCGTTCGTTTACATATTTGCTATACTTAAACAAATTATAATATTTTATAAGGGTCAAAAAAAAATGTCCTTCAAATATTTTCATCGAGTTCCTTACAAGTTATTAAATCTAAAGTTCTTTATTTTATATACAAAGCTTTTAAGGTATACAGAGCCGCTGAACCGTAAATTATATGACCTTTAAATAGCTTTTTCTGGTTTAAGACCCAGTGGCTAGCAATGTTGATAGTTTTACTTGCTGAATGAAAAATTCAATTGTTCTTGAATGGCTCAAGTTCATAAAATACGTAATAAACCATGTGCAAATTTTAATAAAACTATTTCCCCATAAAAAAAAGGTTTTTTCCTCATAAAATTAACTGTATAATATATTATATAATATGTACTAAACCTTTTAGATTTTTTGTTGAAGTATACATTTTAAATAAATCTTTGTCGTAAAAAATATGCGTGATTAAATTATAATCATGCGTAGGATAAAAGTAAAGGAAATAATAATTATGAAGGGAATATATTTTTTGAAACGTTGCTGTGCTTTGTTTTCCGAGGGTGCAATTATTTTTTATCGAGAGGGAACAACCGTACTATGTATATAGTTAAAAAATTTTTTAACAAAATACTAAATTATAAACGTTTTATTCGCATAAAATAATCCAATCACACGATGAAAATTATGTGCAATAGTATTAAAATGAAAAATAAATCATATTTATATGTGAATTAGAAGGGAGAAAAGTATAATAATAGTATATTTACCTATTTTTCTGAAATAATATTAATAATATAATAATTAACGCTAATAAAAAAAAAAAAACAGAAACTTATACAATATACATAAATATGATTAAATTGTTTATATTTAGAAGATACATCTGCAAAATTATAATATTTAATTAAATTTATTATTAAATTTATATTTGGTATATGTCAGTCCAAGCGATAATAAGGACCGGTACGGACAAACGATTAATGATCAATTACAGTAATTTATACAGTTAGTTATATGTATGTAAGGTAAGCGTCGTGTTCTTGCTATTGTAATCCGCGAGTGTATTATTAGTTATTTTTTTATATTAGTGTTTTTGCAGTAATTCGAACGCATTATGTTAAATTAATTTTAGCGTTTTT